GTTATCCCGAACCCAGTTTAAAGTTAGCGCCGGTTGGTGTTGAGGCGGCGGTGCAGGTGAAAATTACCAGCTCTAAACACCCGAAAACCTCAGCAACAACCTATACCATCAAGCATTGAAGCCCCCTAAGTCTGGAACCCCTGAACCCAGAGCTCCAAATCCTGAAATCCTTAACCGTAACTCCCGATCCGTAAGAAAACACGGCTCGAAATCCATACACGCGGAGACCTTGCAGAGTAAAACCCCGAGGTCAAGACCCTTCAACTCTTCCAAACCATAGTATATTATTAGCATTCATATACATTATTTATATTTATATATATATATTGCATATTATATATATATATATGTTATATATATATAATATAAGAATAATAATACTAATAATAACAAAAATAATAACAATAATAATAACAATGATAATAACAATAAAAATAACAATACTAATAACAATACTAGTAACAATAATAATAACAATAATAATAACAATAAAAATAACAATAATAATAACAAAAATAATGATAGTACAATAACAAGTATTATTATTATACTATTATCATTATTATTATTATTGTTGTTGTTGCTGCTGTTTATACTATTACTATTATTGTTATGATAATTACTATTATCACCATTACTATTATTAGTCTTACTATTATTATTACTATTAATTATAATATTCTGAGTATTACTATGACCAATAATAGTGATAATGATAATGATAATAATCTATAATTATTTTTGAATAACATTTAAAAAATATTCTTCGTATATATTCTTGACCCTTTACAGGAGATCCCAGGTCCGAAAGCCCCTCCTTTCAACGCTTCCGGGCCTGACCGAAGTAGAAACCCAGGCCCCAGTCGATGAGCTGCGAAGCTTTGGCAAAAGAGGGTTTGACGTAGACGCCGTAGACGTTTAGAGGGATTTGCAGATTCAGAGTTTTGGGATGTTCAGGGGTCACCGGAAAGGCGTGATGGCTTCGAAGGCTCTCTATCTATAGAAAGGCCGAGCACTGTGCCGGGTTCATGATCTTCGCTATTCCTTGTCGACCATCGGCTCTTTTGTTGTAGGGCGTTTGAGGTGTCGCTTGCGTGCACACTTTTGGGAGACAGGTACGTACATCCCACAAACAGCCCTTCCAGGCCACAAAACTGCAGGGCTGCGGTGCTGAATACGGAAGCAAGACAGAAGAAGACGAACTTGCGGTCTACGATGAAGCAAGCATTTGAAGCTGACATTCCAGATAGATAGACATAGCAAAGAGATGTCCCCTGAAGCTGGAAACCCGTCAGGCTTGAAAACTTGAAGCCCTCAACCCTAAAGCCTGCAAGCCCGACTCTATATCTATATACCTCACATGGCCTTGACGTGGTTGTTCGTCACATCCTTGCTGCAGAAGCCTCCGAGGCTCAGGTTGGGGGTGCCCGGGAAGTCCGGGGCAGTTACTGGAAATATTTGGGTCTAAATGCGTTCCAGCTAATTCCGGCCCACCTGTCAGCAGCAATGTCTACAAGATTCTTCAACGGTCGCAGTAGGATAAGGACCCGAATCCTAGATGGGACCTGTCAGCGCGAAGCTCGATTTTCTCGGTTTCGAGGAGCTCAAGAGTCGCATGATTCATCTGGGTTGTAGTTTGGGGTAGTAACCATAAAGGAAAATTCAAAAGTTTCCCAGCCACCTAGTCATGGTAGGCCCCCGGTTCTGGGCGTTCGGGTGGGCTTTGAGCTTTGAAGCTTTTGGGAGGTGGCTCACGGATCTGCTATTTAGGCTTGGAGCCTTACGGCCTTAGGGTTGGGGATTGGGTGGGGCCAAGGCCAAGGTCCGACCCAGGAGGTATCCTCCCAAACCGCAAACGCTGCGATGCAAAATCCCACAGCATGTCCCCAGCACTCTGTCGAAACCTCTCAAAGAGCTGCTGCCCTTCTTCCTTTACGTGCTCTCAGAGCGCCTTCGAAGACTTCTCTGCGAAGCTCTTCGAAGCTCTCTCGGTTTTTGGGGAGCAGTGTCGGTTTGTGCAGTCAGGAGACAGATGTTCTCCGGCTTCATGTCTCGATGCGCGATGCCTCTGTTGTGAGCGTACCTCAGAGGGCTGCCGGGGCTTGGGGTTCTACTTTAGGGTCTCGGGGTGTAGTAGGGTTCGGATTTCAGGATTTCAGGGCCGCGCCGGATTCTGCCGACAAAGGGGAGCTGAGAACACCAGGAAGCCTGGAAGGACTAGGCCCCTGCACTTCTCATCGAAATTCTCATCGAAATTGCAAGAGATGGGTACCGCAACCAGATCCCTGGAAATAGCTTTCTGCCAGGGCGCAGGAGCGCACTTGCGGCCTGGCGCACGATCTCTGCGGTGGTCGACTCCTGGATTAAGCCTTGCCTCGGATTTGTCTCAGCTGAACGTTTTATACAGTAGATTGTATAGATTTTGGGTGCGGGGCAATGTAGACTTCAGGATCAGGTGTCAAAGTTTTCAATACCCCTAGACAAGAATTCTACATCGCGACCTGCATGAGGACAAGAGAGACAATCAACATTGCTACGAAGCAACAAGAGCAAGAGCAACGGCAGCACCAACGCCAGAAGCAGCAGAAGCAACAACACGAATCGTAATGTACTGACGACTTACCAAAGACAATAGTTGAGCCCACAAGTGACCTGGATCCCAATTGCAGCTTCAGGCTTGGCCGTATGCATCTGAAAACCTCCGAAAGAAGCGTAGGCTCAGCTGAGCTGCTCCATAATCCGATCAAATACTTCACGTCCCTCACAGTACCTCGGCATCTGGACTTTGACGCCGGAAGAGGCTGATCTGGGGGTTTAAGCTTTTGCATGTTTTTTTTTTCTGGATGTCTCACCAAAAATGTGAGTTTTGAAGGCTCTGGGGCCCAGGGGCCCGACAGTTCCCTTCTACAAGTTTGGCGTTCTGTTGACCTATGCCACGGTGGAATCCGCCGGCTTGGGCTACGTATGCGATGTGCGTACACCCACCGCCGCACTTCCGCGACCTGCATTCCTCCCAAGCCAAATTCGAAAGGAGACCCGGCGTGTCGTGCTTGGAGTTCAGAGCTCGATACACATGGCAGGCATAGCATGAACGAGTCCAAATCTCTGCGACTATGAGAACCCAAGCAGCTCTGGCCGAAGCAAGCAACGGGTATATTTTGAGCTTCTAGAAACTTAAGACTTAAGGCTTAAACACAAAACACATGTGAGATCTCATGTTTGGCACTGAAGGACTCTGCTCCAATTTGCATTCCCTAGAATTTGCGGGAGCAGCACTATCGCTGAACCTGGAAACCTATCATCGCGAACCTGCGCCCACTGACGGGCGCACTCCATGACAAAGAACATGAAGCCTCGGCATTGCTCCGGATCTCAATTCAGGGTTCCGCATGAGGATGGGAACTTCCGAAACTTAAGCGACACGGGCCTGAGGGCGGGGTCAGCTGTCCCTTTTTCGCAACTCCTTGAAGGGTTCACGGGTGGCCACTCCTTATGTGGATGGCCATGTAGTTGGCCATTCCCTGTCTCCGGATTTGACTACTCCGCTAGGGCATAAGGGATTCGCATCACGCTGAGCTTGGGCCTCTCTTGAAGCTTTAGCCTCCAAGTAACCCTTCGAAGCCTTCAAAAAAAGCTCACACGCGCTCTTGGGCTGCCAGCACGGAAGCCTCTCAAGCCTCTCCGAGAGCTTACGGTCACTGCCTCTTGTGTGTTTCAAGCGTCCCAGGCAACCCAAAGGAAAAGGCTTGCGTACACCACTCTGCAAAATAAACTGTTACTGGGAAGTTGAAGGCTTCTGTTCGCCCTCCCGAAAATATCTTCAGACGAGGCACGCCCTTGCTCGTAAGTCTCCAGGAGCTTGCAGATGTTTGGATGGTCCAGATCCTGGCAAGTTCAGAGCCTAGGTGCACTCCAGATGTTGAACCAAAGCCGAAAGCACCCTGAACCCCGAAATCCCGCCCGTCGGGAACCCCTCTCCAAAAATACTCAGGACTCGGCACGGGGAAATACAGCCTGAACCCTCACCACCTACCAACCCGGACTATGTTTCCTAACGTGATTGTTATAAACGATGATCCGCTGTCGCACAGCCTTGTGGAACTGGTGCACGTTTCCCCTTGCGCTTCCAGAAAAGATGCAACAAATTCTCAAAGTTCAGCCGAGAGTTGAAGGCACTCCAGAGCTCAGCCCTTTGGGCTTTGCCTACTGAGCTTAACCTGAAGCCAGGGCCTGCCATCTCCGAAACCTCCGGAGCCTTCGAGGCCACAAGACCCCCCGACAGGACAATGCTCTTAAGATCTTCAGTAGTATCGGGAAGATCTTGATTCTCCTCGAAACAGAAACCGAAGAGCATCGGCTTTTCCCGTCAAGGGGAGCCCGACCATGCGACCCTCCAGAGCCGACTGAAAGCCTGCCAGCGTGACCTTCATGATCTGAGCCTCCTGTAAGAAGGCCTTCTTCTTTGCATCCTCGAAGATGATCACCTCAGCTGCTGCTATCTGTTCTGAAGATGACACTGACAAGGGTTTGCCCACATGTCCCAGCGTCTTCGTGGCTTTTCAGGCTTGGGAAACCGTCAAACAAGGACCATGATGAATGAGGCTTTGTTGCCGGGTTCGTGCTGACGTACTCAGTTGAAGCTACTCACACCCAATGCCATAACGAGGAAAGCATAACATCATGGTAAATTGAATTCCATACAAGAATCCAGGATGCTCCTGCTTGTCGCTGATATATTTGGGGTTGTCCGGCTTCCCGTATCTACCGGGCCTTCTTGATGGCGACCATCCGATCCCGCATCGTGCGATCCCGGGCAACAAAGACCTGACACGACAGCGCCCTGCAGATTTGGGATTCTATGGTCTTGATCTATAGCTCACAAGAACTAGAGCAGACCATGTCGCACACGTTCAACAGCATCGCATTTCAGTACGCGACTTGTGCTGCAGATGAGGTCGTACATCGGCAGAGAAGCTCTGCCACACATACCATGATTTCGGTCTGAGAGCAGTTGCGCAGAAACTTCGAGTCGCTGTATGTAGTGGGGCAGCATCGGAGTGATGCTGTCTGTCAGTATAATCTGCCCACCAACCAAACACTGTGAGAGTCATCCGAATATGCATCGGTGTCGACGACATCACTGTCTACCAGAAGACCATAGAAAGGATGCAGCATTCACGCATATTGCTCCCCCCCCCCCCCCAAACCTTCAAACCCAAACCCTGAACCAAAATACTTGAGCCTGGAGCCCTGAAGCGCCAAACCCAAACCTTACAACCGCAAGGACTAAAACGCGCCTTATAACCCCGAAGACCAAGCCCTCAACATATCATCCGCAGGCTCGGCTCTAACTCCCGCCTTTCCGTATCCACCCGAGCCGATCTCGTTCTTGTCGATGTCGTAGCGCCTCGCAACCACGCTGCTTCGCGGTTCGGGCTGTTTGGGGCTTTGATTTCTGGTCTCTGGGTTCTGACGGATTTGGAGGGCTCTGGTTGGCCCTGCTCCGAACACCCCAGGGTTCGATGTTGCAAACATTGCTGCGCATGCGCTCTCAATCGGAGATCGTTCGGTTCCCTAACGAAGAGTATTGTTGGCTTCCTATAAACCAAGAAAGTATCCAAACGAGAATCCAAACGAGGAACCATTGAGGAAGGGTTACCCCCCCCCAAAAAAAAAACAAAAAAAGCAATCCCAAAACCACTACACTCACTACACGTGAAACCCGTGCAGTTTCTGTCAACCCTCGAACTCCTTCGTCCTACGCCCTTGGAAAGGGCTTCATGGGTTTGACGTGCCTCGAGATCTCGGCATTGACTCGCTTCGGCATGAACGCTTTCGCATCGAACTTCCTCCCATTGTCAGAGCTTTACCACAGCCCGGCTACCCCACCCGCCGCACGTACCATTCTAAGGATTCGTGGGGAGTTTTCTGATGATGAGTTGGCAATTTGCCGATGCGATGACAAGACGAGGGCCCTTTTTGCAAACAGGCTTGATGGGAGCTGCGCACCGATACCAAGAGTCTTCGTCCAACGCAGCGAGCTCCCTGTGGCAGATCAAATCTTTTTCCCCCTGCCTCGACACTCGAACACGCTAGCGGCCTAGACTATACTTGGAGAACGCGAAGATGATTGCTAGTTCTTGAGCCTAAGCTACCAGGCACCCCCCCCCCCCGAACTTTCGACCTGAAGATTTGATCAATATCTCCAACACACCGAAAAGCGCATCACATCAACATCTCAAAAAGACTGTGAAACCGGACTCGAAAGGCGGGGGCACTAGGTAGCACTTATTGTCACTCGCAGTGGCTACTTGGCAGCACACGCTAGAAGGAAGCCCGAACCTGTTGTCGTCCATCGTGCTGGATCTTCTTGACCTCTGCTTGTGGTTTTATGAGTTTTGTGTGACTACGGTTCGGGGATTTGGGATTCGATGTTAGTTCTCTTTGGTCCGTGGCGTACACTTCAGGCTCGTGGCTTTCGGGTTCAGACCGGGAATCGACTTAGGGCTCGTCCTGTGTGCAGGGGGTTGCAGGAGATTCCTTTGGAAAGCCGAAAGCCAACGCTCGGCTCCTGAGAGCCCTTTCAAAAAAATGCTGGCAAAGCCTACTGAAACACCCTCGAGGACTCTCCGCTGGATCGCCTGGAACGGCATGCCGTCTAAGACGACAGAATTGCTCCCAGCGTTTGGAGCTTCCGGTGTAGAGAGCGTAGACTACTCCAATTGTACGGTGGGGTTCGGTGACAAGGGCTGCACCGGAGCACTCTCTGGACAGGCCACGTATCCGATGCTGGGTCAAGTACATAGTGGCACCCGCAAAGAGACCCCGCCTAAAACCTTATGAAGTCTAAAAGTAAGGACGATAAGGACCCTTGCAACCGCTCCCGACCTTCCCGTCGCATCGCTTGCTGGGGAAGAAGGATCCTGGGGAGGCTTCGGCAATTTAGGGAGGGCTTCGAGGGGCATTCGGCTCTCTTCAAGGCCTCGAGTTAAGAGGCTCCAGGGCAAGGGGCATTGGGGCTTGGGTTTTGGCGTTGAAAGGTCTCGAGCTTTTGGTCGAGGATTCATGAAACGTTTGGGGCACAACGATTTTTGGATTAAGGGCTGATTCTGGGCTTCGGGTTGAGAGCTCTGCTTACTGTTTCTTGCTGCAGCTAGGCTATTGGATCAAGGGTTCGGGCTTAAAGGTGAAAGCTGCTTGGCCCTCTATGCATGGCCTTGCATCTGTCCACGCGTCACGAAAGCTTTCCACCCTGGTTGAGACTTGTCTGGTGCAGTCGGTGCAGTGCCACACGTTGGATGATTTGACAGCAGCAATCTGTCAATAAAAGTTTGCACTGATGCTTCTGCGATGCACTTCCTAATCTCCATGATCACGACGCAGAAGCAGGTGATTTGATGACAAATGCTCCGACTTTGCGCCGGCGATAATGTGGCATGTTTTTTGTCTGACCTTCTTCATCTGAATACCACAAAAACTGCGTAGCTCTAATTTCATCCGACATTGCCGACACTCTGTTTTGCCAGCATTCTCCATGCAGCAGTATCCTCGCTGTTATGCATACAAAATAGAAGGAGACCATGAAAACTCGCGTTCGCAGCATTGTCGAAGCGGAAGCAGAAGACAAGAGCTTGGCTGACGGTTTTATTTCGCATAGCCTGGATGGAATGGGAAGCGGCTGCAACAGCCGAAAAGAAAGCTTTGCCGAGGGCGCGGGTTCCGCCCCGTGAGGGTGCGAAGGGCTTTCAAAGGTTGGCCTCGTGAGCCTTCCCGAGGCCCTCGCGATCTTGAAGGTGACGCCGCGCTGTGGCAGCGCCGGCATCGCCATCTCCGGGCGGGCCAGAAGCATCAAAGGCCAGGCGTGGAAGCGCAAGCTACGATTGACGGCTTGGGGCTGCGGCTACAAACCCCTTCGCCTTTCAAGGGCCTTGACGTTTGTCCCTGCCGTTTTTGCTCCTGTCCTATAAGATTCGGGCTTCTTGACATGCGATGTCTTAAGATGGACGTCGACTGGTTGTCAGTCTTGACATACTACCGAATTCTCGTTCCTGAAATGTCCAGTGCTGTCATGGCGCTGTCTCCCATGAAACGGCTCCTCATGCAGGCTCTGCAAGCCCATTCCCCAAACCCTAAGCCAGGGAACCGAAGCCCTGGATTGAAAGCATTCTTCAAGGCATCGGGGCCGTTTTGGGGGGGGGAGTTCAGTGAGGCTTCCGGCTTTGAAGTGTTGCACACATCCGTGTTGGAGTTTGCTCTCCAGGGTCAAGATCAGTGGGGGACTCTCTCGTGCTTGGTGCATCTGCTCCAGCAGCTTCTATGAGTGCTGAAAAAAAACGGGTGCGACATCCTGGGCCTTTACACCTACGACGGAATAAGCCAAACTTGGTCCATCAGATGTTTGAACATCTCCCATGTTGGGACCCAAAGAACCCCACACCAAAGACCCTCTCGGCAGCACCCACTGCTGGTCCCTAGCTTTTTTTGGCAGCGGCCTCCTCTGTCCAGCAGTTCCCGGGCACCCTTAGCATCATCTCAACAAGGGGTGGAGCGTCGCGCTCCTCTCAGGCGCCGCGGGAGTCGACTCGCTCATCCCCGAATCCTCCGTCTCTTCGTCCGTCCCAAAGGCATCCCAAAGCCAGCTTGGAGAGGAGGGGCGCTCTACCCCTCCTCCTCCTTCTCCTCCTTCTCCTCTGCATTCTCCTGGTGGGACAGCGGTTCTGTTTCCAAGCCCCGTCACGCACAGATGAGCTTCAAAAGAACCCTCACACACGAAACATTAGATCAGAACTTCGTAGCCGCCTAGTCTATGAAAGCTCCAAGGCCAAACAACCTCTCGCAGACACCTGCAGAGCAACACGTGCACTCATCATGTGTTCGCAGCACCCTCCTTCTTTAATCATGACCCGACATGACGTGCTCTACAGTCCTTTGCCTTGAATGGTAGAGGAGCCTTAATCACATGCACCCGAAAAGAAGGAACGTCATCTTCTCAACGCCCGCAACACACCAGCATGCAAAGGTGTGAAAGATCAATACTTGCAGCCGCCTTGGAGGAACAACTTTCCAACACAATACCACCAAAGACACTGCACCGTAGACACACGACATGCTGACAGTATGACATATCATGTTCTACATAGGATCTGCACTCATGCAACATGATTGAATATTCAGCCTGGATCCCTGTCCAGTGCTCCTCGGCGTCACGCACCGCCTTCTTCCTTGCAGTTCGGGCTTCTGGGCTTCAGGCTCGTGGGGTTTTGTTGTGATTCGTGCTGCTTCTTCCCCAGGGCTTCGAGGCGCATAGTTGACAGGCTTTCGATTGGAAAGGAGATGCTTCATTTCGAGCCTCAGCTAGAAGAGTGTCTTGTTTGTCTTCTGTCCATCCTCAAGAATTGAAATTTAAGATGTAGCCACTGTAGAGGGTGTTACCTGTGCTATTCATAGACCCGCAAACTTGTGACTGCATCATGCAGCAGGATCGGTCCGTGCCTTCGGAAGCACTAAGAAATTTCAAAGCTAACAAAGCTCTGTGACATCATCTTTCTTGGGGCACCTAGAAGAGAGACTCTCAACCCGAAAACGTCACATCCCTTTTTGGGCTAGCTGTTCTTAACCTCAAAGGGGGCATCAAAAGGCCGCCCGGCGTCTCTTCGATCTCGGAGAGTCCTTCCAGGATTGCCTGAGACCAGAACTGGTCGTCTGCGGGAGATGAAGTCGACTGTAGGGCTCAAAATTAAGGTTTGGGGCTCGGAGTCTTAGAGCTTTGGGGTTTGAAGCTTGAAGGCTTGGGGCTTGACGAAGTTGCCAGCTAGACGCAGCAGTTGGAGAGTTTGAGGCTTCTTGGACTAGGGCTTCGGGACAAGAGATCGCCCTGCAAGATCCACAGTCACAGTCTCTACTCGGATCAAGACTTCATTATTTCAGGCCCCAGTCCAAAAGCCTGAATGATTAGAGTGGGGCTTGGCGGCGTCTCTGAACAAGAAGTGTCTTGATTGGCATGTAGGAAGCTCAAAAAAATATGCCTCTTTTTGACTATTCTGGCCCCCATATTACTTGCCTGAGTTTGGAATGGCAGAGAGTGCTGGGCAGAGAAGCCTTCTTCATGTCCTCCCGCTTTTCTTCCCACTCCTTGACCTTCGCCTGGCGGCTTCGGGCGCTGGGTGTTTTGAGCTCGCAGCTCAGGCTTTCGGGCTCCGTCGTACCACGGTCGGGGCCTAGCTTAAGTTTCGGAGATGCATGGGGACCTGCAAAACAGTCTGAGCCTGAACCCTGCCTGCAACTCGAATGCCAGACAGAGCTGGCCAACCTCACCCTTCCCTTCCCACCCAAGATTGGGGACTCCATCAATCCCAGCGTCGGGTTTAGGAGTAGGGATGCGAAGGAGTTCGGTGTTTTCATTGAGGTTAAGCACATGCATCTGGAGCTGTGGGTTAAGGGAGTTCGAGATTGCTCGGAGAAAGCCCCCTCTTGTTCCGTTTCCATCGGGAAAATATCCCCACGGTGGCGGTGGGGGAGCCCAAAACTTGGTCCCCGGGGACCTGCGTCAATCAGTCTACCCGGGATTGTGATTTAGTCTTTTTGGAAAATCGAAAGTGATGGCCTGTCTAAAAATCAGGGACCCTGAAAAGGACTCTAAGTCTTGCGAACCTCCCGAACCCCTTTGCAAAAGGGAAGGTAGAATCCTCATTGGAAGCCCTCAAGAAGACCTAGATTAGCTATATGGCTTAAATGATTCTTGCGTAGGCTTTGCAATTGCACTGGCTTCATCATAACTTACATAGCCACTGTTTTCCCTCAGCCTGGTAGTCGGCCAACTGCTCCGTTAGCTTCTCCAAAAGACCCGGCACCTGCTTCCGGGCGAGGGTTCAGGTGTTGAAAAAGGTTTCGTGTCGGGGGCTTCAGGGCTTCTTGGGTTTGGAATTTAGAGCTTGGGGCTGCACGGTCTAGGGTTCTGAGTTTCGGGACCCCGTGGTCACTCTGACAAGTTGTGGGATCCAGCTTTAAGGCAAGCCCGACGAGCCACCAAAGGTCGGAGCATCAAAGCCTAGATGAAGGCCTTAAACCAGACTAATCGACGAAGCTACCTGCATTCATGAGAAACCCCCGACGACTCAACTTTTGCACGATGGCAGGGCCTTAAACCTGAGCAACCTCCAAACGGCAGATGCGAAGCATGAAGTTGAGTGGGAGTGCCACTGGAGGCCGCATTCCAGATTAGGATACCCAGGTGTCAACCTATTTACCGAGACTGCTCTTGCCCCAAACTTTAAAGTCCACAACCTCATGCCACACAGACGCCTAAGCACCCCATGAACCCTGCAGTAACCCCAAAGTGAAACCCTACAGAAACCGCAACAATGCACAGGCAAGACCTTCTTTCCTAGGCTACCCAGCCTGGTCCGTCGAAAGGGGCGCATCGAGCTTGAGTTGGTCAAACCTCGGTCGGCTTCCACTCCTACAGGTACTTCACGGGGGAGAGAATGCGGAGGTTGCGGTTCAGGGAATGCGTGCTTCTGTTGATTTTGGTGGGTGTGTGGTTTACCGGTTGTTGCGTTCAATGTTTTGTTGGTTCAGGGGGGTTGAATTTACACTGGTCCTAAACTGTGATCTGAGTCTTCAGTAAGCAGTGGGTCGAGGCCTGACAAAACTCCGGTCAAAATCTGAGCACATTCCCAATCCCAAGTTTAAGGTATGCCGAGACAACAAGCCTATGCCTGCGAAGTTTCTGGATCCCACCGTATCTAAGAATCGCATTCGAAGAGCAAACGGAAGGTCTCAGCGTTGTGGGTAATCTTTGCAGCCTTCGTCTCACCGGCTCCTATCGAGACGGCTTGGAGGGACGAAGACTGGGTGCTTCACCTGTCCTGACACTCACGCATCCCAACGCCAGCCTCCCTTAACCACAGACTCAGAGCAATCTACGGTGCTGGCGTTGCTGGCGTTCTTGTCCCTGCTGACAGAGACGACGATGCTGGCGGGAATGCTCGTCTAATCTAAACCTTCACCTGCCATTTTCTGAAAGTGAGAATCCCAAATAAAGACCTTCAGAGCCTTGTATAAGGAGCCGTAAAAAGATTGCCGCATTTTCGAAAACAACAACTACGAACTTCCTCGAACTCTCGAAAGCCACGAAGCTCAGGATGGCCCTGGAAAGCCGTTGCAACGCCAGAACGATTACTTGGGGATGCCTCGGTGTCACGAGAAATAGGTCTCAGCATTCGTGCAAGTACTTCGGGAATGGTTGCCCGGATAACTCTGCCTCATACCAATTGCGGTAAGGACTAGCCTAGCTCTGCAGTCAAGAATCACAAATGCGAAAAAGCTGAGAAGAAGGTCCGTAACGTATGCCATGCTGACCGACCGTGTTCCCGGTCCTTTCTTCTTGTTCTTGTCCTTCTTGCCCTTAAGCGGCGCGAAGTAAAACTCCTCTTCGCGGTCCTCTGCGGCTGGAATTCAAAAAACAAGGCTCCGCTGAAAAAGTCTGCTGAGCCCGGGCCTCCTTGCGCAGCAGGATCTCACATCCGTCCACGTTCTCGTGGGAAACCTCCTTCTTCTCGTCCGACTTGTCCTCAACCTGTCATGCTCAGTCGGGATATCCCACCGCCCAAGCGCAACAGCAAATAAGCCCTCCGTCATGAAAAGCCGGAAGCAGAAGCCCGCAACCAAATGTTCGAAGAAAGAACCGGAAGCGCCCCAAGGCCTGAACCAAGACGGTATAAAAAAGACTTCGAGGGCTAGGCAGCACTTCCAAGCAGATGCTGCGCGGCTGAGCATCAGTGTTCTGAAACAGCACGACAACGGTACATCTCTCAACTGGAAGGACCAACCCCCCAAAGAGGACCAGGACTTTTAGCGGTCCTGCAAAGAGGACATTGTACCAACGGCGGCTGTTCCCAAGGTATGTTATGCATGCTTTCTCAGTTCAGGGCTTAGGGCTTGAGACTGGCTAGCATAGAGATTCTCCATCGGGCCGAAAAACCTCAGGATTTCATGCGTCTCGGGGTCACTCACCGGGTCAGGGACCTTGGCCAGAGCGCTGCCTAAGATAACCACAATCAAAATACTGCTGCTTGTGCCACCCAGCCTAACCCACTGCTGCAACGTGCTCCTTTGATGGGTTCGGACGAAACTGCTCAAGCAGGCAGACAGATAAGGGGTTCCAGAAATGTGCATGACCAGGAATAAGAAGACACTTTAGAGGGATTGTCTTCATGATGTCCAACGCAAAACAGTACTTGTAACGCTCTCGACAGCACAAGCGGACCTTGGATTGCACCAGGCCCTGGCAGAACTTCATGGTCTGCTCCTTGGCTTGGATGCTCAATGGGATCCGAGGGCTTGCGGCATCATATATGATTATGGCATGGCTTCTACGATCGGAAGCCAACCGTTTCGGGGCCGAAGGCCACAGGGCGCAATCCCTAACCCAAAGACCTGGAGGACTCCTGCATCCAGGGAGCGATCAGCGTGATCTCCGCAACGTATGGCTGATCATCGAGCTTCTCCGCCTTTGGGTCGAGGGCTTCAGATTCCGTGGTAGAGTTAAGGATTTAGCTATACTGATAACGCTGAAAGCTTTGATCTCATAAGGGATTCAGAACATAGGCTTGAGGACTCAGGGTGGCCACGTCCAGTCACTCCGAGTCTGACTCGGATGTGCGGCGTTTTTTGAGGGTTGTGTAGAATAAGGTCCCAGAGCTGATCATCGGCGAGGGCGAGGAGGAGTTTTTTGTGTGGCTCAATCCTGGGGCCTGATCCATTCCGAAGCGCAGGATCTGACTTCTGACTTGGGCTCCGGCCGCAAGGTTTAGGGCTATGGTAGCTGCGTTTAGCACCCTCTGTGCAGACATTGAACCCTCAGTCATGCCATCTCAAGGGCACCTGCCGCCTAAAACCCCCTAACGAAACGCCTTGAAACCTCAGGGTGTATAGGGCCCAACAACAACTCCCCAAAGGGTCTGAGCGTTTTGGAGCACTTTGCCTAACTTCAGTAAGGGCATGGTGACACCCTAAGTCCTAGGTCCTAAGTCCCAAATCTCAACGCCACCTCGCGCTGCTTCCGGCGCAGGTCGTACTCCTTCACTGAGGCAGCTTAGCTTTGCGACACTCCCTCATCGAGCTGTAGAGGCAACAGCTACCTAAAAATTCTCGGGACAAGTCAGAAGCCCCCCATCAGCCAAAAAGACGACTCTGCCTCTGGAGGCCCCCTCGAGGCCCCGCCACTCCTTCTGCCTCTCGGCCTTCTCGGCTGCATACTTCTCCTATCAAGGATAGGAAGAGGGCGCTCTTATCCCTTCCCCCCGGCACACGAAGGTTTGGGGCCTTTAGGCTTAGGATGTCAGTGCCCAACCGGACAGACAAAAGAAAATCTTAGAGTAAGATCAGAGGAAACCATCTCTTTCAGCAGTTTCTGCAGACCTCAAAAAACCTTCGGAGACTTCTCGAGCTTCTTCGATTTTGGAACCGACCGAATCTGAGATCTTTATCGGCTAAGCAATGCCCGCATCCCGAGAGTCTCGCGAGTGTCGCCAAGCAGCCCTAAAGCCCTCAGCCCAAGACACCCTGCCAAATTCGGCGCCTGTCTCACACGCCTCTGCTCTGCCAGGTACTGGTTGTATTCTCGCTCCTGCTCTGACAGTGCTGGAGGATTTGGGCTTGGGGCGATTGAGCCCAGGCGAGGCTCTAGCTCCCCCTGGTTTCCCATCGCCCGGCGTTAGGGGTTGAGTTTGGGCTATCTACTTGCTCATGAAGGCCGGCACAAACCCTGAATCATCAGCCTTGAAGTCAAATGCGTCGTAGCTCCTTCTGGCGGAACTCATCCCGAAACTTGTTGCGCTCCTCCGCGGAACTCTGGGGCACCGATTTATGGTGTCTGCTATGGCCCAGGGTGTCGCAAAAGTTACGGGCAGACCCCGAAGACCCAGGCCTTTCAAAGAGCCCATCCCAATTCCGATACCCGATTCCTTTTCCTGGCCGATTGGTGCGATTTTCGACTAGCGGTGCCACGCACGTGCTCCTAGCGATCATGACGACAGTGATCATGGCGGCGATGGTAGTGGTGATTCATGATGGTCGCCATGACGGTGCCACTTAAGACCTAAGTATGGTGACTGCATGAAGATTATGAAACGCTGATAACAAGTGGGTTGTGTGGGTGATGGTGCAGGACGCGGCCAAGCGTGTCACAGTGAGGACGACGACGACGATGATGATGATGATGATGATGGTGACGACGACGATGATGATAATGATGATGATAATGATGCGATGGTGGTGATGATGCTGATGACGATGGCGCTGACGTGATGATGATGATGATGATGATGGTGACGACGACGATGATGATAATGATGATGATAATGATGCGATGGTGGTGATGATGCTGATGACGATGGCGATGACGTGATGATGATGATGATGATGGTGATGGTGATGGTGATGGTGATGGTGATTGTGACGGTGATGGTGATTATGATGACGATGATGGTGAT